TTGGAGAGAGATAAAACCTGCAGCTCAGAATCTAGCGCAAAAAATACGTAAACACAAAGCTCGGACCCACCGAAACGCTTTGTGTTTACGTCTTTGTGCAGAATCCGTGTACCTGCTCTCATTTACTGTTTTAGCTGTTTGGTGGTTGTTGAAATTTTGTGAGGTTTAACCTGAGATTCTGGCTTTTCGGGCAAAATAAATTTATATTAAAAAATTGATTCAGGATTTTAATGAATCGATATCACATTAAAATCGATTCTAGCTTGGATAATCAATAAATTGATAATCAAAACCCACCTCTAGGGATGAGACAAAAAAGCATACACCCTACATTCCGGTGGGAGGAGCTATGAACAACAGTTACATGTCAATTCAACAACTCTGCACCAGTTGAAAATACTTTTTATTTGATCTCTGGAAATATTCTAATAATTCGAGAGACTGGAATTACGATTTTTCCTGAGCTGTAAGCTATGATGATTGACATTAAATATAATAATTTATGTGTAATCATGGAATATACAAAAGTTTACTTTAACCTATTTTTGTTTTTTTCCACACAAGACTGCTGTGTTAGTGCTTGTCTTGGCGTGCTTGACCTTTCTAAACATTGAATATACTGGTCTGACAGAAATCTGGTCTGGTCTGAAACACTTAAAGGGATGATGCAACATTGAGTAGGTCTATGTAGTCCTCAGAACAAGTGACTGGTGAGTCCACCCAGTCTGTTTGGGACAGTCTGAGGAAGTATGAGGAAGCTTGAGTTGGAAATGTGAGTCATGGGAACACTGAGGGCAATAACAGAACTATGTCTGGCTTTGGACTGAGGCAAATGACCTGGCTCAGACATGTGAGTCGTGGCACAGACTTTTGTTATGAAAATGGACTGTCATGGACTGCAGATCACACATTTGACCACTGGTATGAGCTTTGCTTTGCCATTGTCTGAATCTGGAACTCCAAGTAGCTTTTCTGTTCCATAGCTGCAAAACAGAGCGTGGTGCTCTGTGGTTGACATATATATCCAGGACATACTGATGAGAAGTGGGCTACTGGAACAAGAGGGCACAAGCTGGCAAGAGATGATAATAAGGCGCTGTTGGAATGCTACTACGCGAGTCAACCCCAGTGGAAGGAGAATCTTTGATACCCAGCATCCAGACAGCAAAACAACTAGTAGCTCAGTGTAAATGGTAAATGGCCTGCATTTGTATAGCGCTTTTCTAGTCCCTAAGAACCCGAAAGCGCTTCACACTACATTCAGTCATTCACCCGTTCACACACACATTCACACACTGGCGATGGCAAGCTACATTGTAGCCACAGCTGCCCTGGGGCGCACTGACAGAGGCGAGGCTGCCAGACACTGGCGCCACCGGGCCCTCTGACCACCACCAGTAGGTGATTAGTGGCTGACCTTCTCTGCCACCTGAGCTACAGCCACCCCAACATTTGCAAGAAGAAACTGCTCTCACATAGAGCTGGGCGATAGAATGATAACGATATGTATTGCGAAATAACTTTTTCTCGATAGAAAAATTAAACTATTGCGATAGGCCTCACCGCTCTTGTCCTCTTAAAAAAAAAAAAAAAATGAACAGCCAATCCAAATTAAGTAGCGCAGAGCCGAACCAATCACAGCCGCAGCGTCACGTCACGTGACTTGTTACATACAGCACAAGTGCCAAGCCGCACATGTGTATTTGTTTGGGAAGCAGCCAGCCGCCGTGCCGCCCGGATAATGAAGGAAATGAGTGTGCCGACTAGAGAAAAATCAACCGAGAGCGTGACCGAAGGTTACCGAAGAGAAAACAGATGATGGTTCCAATGCCGGAGAGATTGTCGAACGGAAGAGCCATAGAAGTTCCGTAGTGTGAAGGTATTTCGGCTATTTCAAGTCTGACAAAAAACAGAGTAGCGTGCACTGTAAATTGTGCCGAAAGCAAGTCTGGAAATACAATAAGCTGGTGCATGCTCAATCTCTGACTGGAAGCACTAATTCGATATTATCACCCTCACCCAATCCAGGGCATCAAACCCCAAGTGCGATGGAAGAAGGATCATTGAGTGCGAGAGGAACTAACCTGAAAGATTGGATCATAGCTGGTTATCAAGATTATGTACCCTCTGAGGATCTACTAGATGATGTCAATGCAGTACTATGGACAATAGTACTTTGTGGCATTTTAAAAAAAAAAAAAAAAAAAAAGCCACAGAGTCGATGTTGCGTAGAGGGTGAGGGAAGCTGTTCCACAGTACTGGTTTGGAAAGCGCAATCCCATGGAAAAGTCAGAAGACCACAATCAGTGTATCTAAGAATCCAGTTTTGAGAGCAAGGGTGAAGAAGCTTGATAATATAAGTGGGGGCCTCTCCTCGTAAAGATATAAAAGTAAGAGTGAGGATTTTAAACTGATATCTGTACCCACTGGAAACCAGTGGAAGGACTTCAACAAGGGAGTGATGTAAGTGAATTTATGAGTGTGGGTTAACAGCCTTGCTGTGGTATTTTGGATCACTTAAAGGTGATGTAAAGAAATCTTTGACAGATAGGAAAAGAGTGAATTACAGTAATCTAATCAGGAGACGATGAAGGCATGAACAAGTATTTCCTGTTCATCTTTGGAGACAATAGTCCTACGTTTGGCAATATTTCTTAAATGAACAAAGCAGGTGCAGGTCACAGACTTGATATGAGCATCAAAAGACAGAAATTGATCAAAAATTAAATGGCCTGTATTTGTATAGCGCTTTACTAGTCCCTAAGGACCCCAAAGCGCTTTACACATCCAGTCATCCACCCATTCACACACTGGTGATGGCAAGCTACATTGTAGCCACAGCCACCCTGGGGCGCACTGACAGAGGCGCCACCACCACCACCAGTAGGCAACGGGTGAAGTGTCTTGCCCAAGGACACAACGACCGAGACTGTCCAAGCCGGGGCTCAAACCGGCAACCTTCCGATTACAAGGCAAACTCCCAACTCTTGAGCCATTATTTCCTTAAGACAGTCCATTAGAGTAGATAATTTGTCTAGTTCACAAGGTTTAAAGGAGGTGTTTAATTGGGTATTGTCTGCTTACTGATGGTAGGAAATAATTTTGAAACTACTAATGATAAGTCCTAAAGGCAGAATATTTAATGACAACTAGAAAAAGTTGCATTTCCTGCGAAAATGCAGTGTGAATGCCGTGTAGTGGAATCTGAAAAAGCAGAAAAAGGAGAGCTATCTGCTGAAAACACTGTGTAGAAGCTGAACTCTGCTGAAAAGTGCTTTATTTGAAAGATTACACTGAAGAGCGTCAAGAAAGCAGGGAGAGTGCGAGGAGGGAAGATGTGCGGCAAGAGCCACAGGTCAGATTTGAACCTGCGCCACCTGGTCTCAAGGTGGCTGCTCATCTCACTTTTGAACTTTCTGCTGAAAAGAGCTGAAGAAACAGAAAATTTTGCAGAAAAGAAGTAAAGAAACTGAAAATTCTGCTGAAAACAGACCAAGAAGCAAAGAATTCTGCTGAAAAGATGTAAAGAAGCTGAAGTTTGTGCTGAAAAGAGGTGAAAATTTTGAACTGTCTGCTGAACAGAAAATTTGCCCTGAGCAGGGTACGAACCCGGGACTTCTGGTCTCAAGGCGGCTACTCGTGTCAGTGAGCTAAACTGGTTTTCCGGAAATTGAATCGAGAAGGAGAAACTGACAATTCTGCTAAAATGAGCAGAAGAGCGTGAGATTTGTGCTGATAAGAAGTGAGAAAGCTGAAAATTCTGTTGAAAAGAGGTGAACTTTTTGAACTTTCTGCTGAAAAGAGATGAGGAAACAGAAAATTGTGTTGAAAGAGGTGCAGACACTGAAAATTCCGCTGAAAACAGACCAAAAAGCGAAAATTCTGCTGAAAAGAGGTTTCTGCTCAAAACAGCTAAAAAGGTGCTGAAAAGGGGTGGAAAAAAACCTGAAAATTCTGCTGAAAAGGGGTGAAGGGGTAAAATTTATGTTGAAAAAAGTTTAACTGTGAACTTAAAGAAATGTTGCCATAAGCGGGATTTGAACCCGGGCCTCCCAGTCTGAGAACGGCTGCTCATCTTACACTGTTCAGCCCGGCAAGCAAAACTGGTGATCACACTGATAATGTGGTCCCATTCAGCAAAATGGGCCAAAAATAGCATAAAAAGCTTAATATCAGAGGGGCCGATGGCGCAATATGGCAGCTTCTGTCAGTCTATCCCAGGGCAGCTGTGGCTACAACTGTAGCTGCCTCCACCAGTGTGTGAATGTGAGAGTGAATGAATAGTGGAATTGTAAAGCGCTTTGAGGGCCCCGAAAAGCGCTATATAAATGCAATCCATTATTATTATTATTATTATTATTATTATTATATCTCAAAAAGTATAAAAGTCATGAGCACCAAAAGATATAGCTGGCATTAGCAGAAGGTTTTGTGCAACGTTTGTGTGAAGAACCACTTGTAACACACAGCATCTACATTAAATAGCGGTTGTATTATGATTTCACACAAAATCTCAGATGGAGAAGAATGTTTGGTCGCTGAAATGGGACAAATGATGAATACATTTACATTTGAATCCTAATTTCCCAGTGACTTCACAGACAACCAAACATGTAGCCAGGGGCCTTATGACACCCAGGTCTCATGTATTTTGTTTAATAGGTTTCTATAGACATTAGTGAAGCAAAAGTTTTGGTACTCCTAGTAACCCCTTTTTCCTTGAAACTGCTGGTTGTGTATTGATGCAAGAAAAAACATGAGCCACTCTGTACTTTTTTGGAAGGCAGCTGGACTGATTAATGTGGCTGTGTATCTGATGGTGTTATTCATCTCTGAATTGTGGCTGGAGAACACGCTTATGGAAGAAGACATGTTTTGATTGTTTTAAATAAATAGAATATCAATATTTGCTTTTCACTAAGGAATAACAAAGGTGTGAACTAGAGGATTTGTCTAATAACATGCCCTTTTTTCTCCTCTCTGAAACTTTTACTTTCAAGCTGGATCATCTACCTCTATCTCCTGTGGCTCCTCCAGCCAGCAAGTGTCAGCGGGCCTTCTGGCTGCACACCGGTATTGACAGGATGAAAAGGTTCAGGCGGCACGGTCAAGAGTCCCAGAGGGATCGGCTAAAACAGGAACTCTTCGCGTTTAATAAGGCAAGTAAATTAGACCATACCACACAGTTTGCCATCTGTAGTGATGTGGTTCAATGTGAGTGATGAGAAGAAGAAGACAAAAATCATTCAGGAGACTCTGAACTATCTGCAGTCATGATATACATTCAAGTGACCAGGTTACTAAGCAGAAACAGAAAATAAAAGTAACCAGAACAAGATCAAGTAAGCTGTTCACTTTAAATTTATATATTAGTTTCTTTTTCTCGTGATTTTTGTCTGTACACCACCATGGTCCATTTAAATCAAACAACAGAGGTGTGATTGAAGTGCAAGCACTCAGCTTTAATTCAAGGGCTTTAACAAAAATATTGACTTAACTGTTATGGAATACAACCACTTTTATACATGGTTTCCATTTTTAGTACTCTGGTGTTCAGAATGTAATTCCAAAAATTATCATTTTTCAAATACTTAAGAACCTGACTTATCTCAGCTAAGAATATATACATTTCAGACAGAATGTCAAATAATTAATATAAGTGCGGTGCCTTTTAGAATCCATACAAATGTCAAACTTTGAACTCTAACCAGCGTAGGTATCCAGCTTAAGTAACCATAGCGATGTAATTAGGTTGATCCTAACATTAACAATATTATAGCCCTCTGGTTTTTCTAATCCACTAACAATAACCAAGTGACAATGAAGAAGCTTAGTGGAGAAAGCAGTGCCACCTGATTATTTCAGTGCATCTAAACCAGGGGTGTCAAACTTACTGTCTACGATACAATTACATACAACCCGCAGGATCATTTTATATGTCAGTTATTAATGTGGAAGCCGAATCTTCAGCCCTGTTGAGAATCCATGCAGGCAGTGGTGGAACTTTATTTTTGATGGGTACTCCATGTGGCCAATCACATGCAAAGACAGACTGGGATCATACCATTATGTGAAAGAAGGAAGAGGGCGGACGTTCCAAAGACGGCACGTGTAGTGGTGTAGCCAGTTACATGGAGAGACAGGAGAGTCGGATTTAAATGCTAGCAGGTCATTGTGGAGGACAAAAGATTTCAAACTTGTCCAGGCTTTAAATCGTGTGTGTTCTCTTTAGTGGTAGTAAATGCATAAAAATAGGGCTTTTATTAAAACAGTGAAAAAAATCAAAAAACTCCTCCCTTGAAAAAGACTAAATTTACAGTTCAGTATTGAATATTACATTAAAAAACTGTATACAAATGGCAAATGTCTTTGAATGGCAGAGATGCAGAAATGTCTGTAGTCATAGGTTTTACAGCTTTTACAGTTATATTTCTACTATCGAAATGTGTTTTGTTTTGGTTTTTTTATGACTACAGTTTTAAAAAATGGTCATAAAAAAACTGTTAAATATGTAACTTCTTTACACTGTGGGAGAGGAGAGTTTCACTGGTCTGGGCCACTTAAGATCAAAGTGGGCTGTATGTGGCGCATAAACACTGCACTCATTTTACAGATAATTGTAATCATAATGATGACGCACTTTCTGCATAAAAGAAAGTGCGTCTGCAAAAAGACAATAACTATATGTAAAACCTAATGCGAAAGAAAAAATGTTTTGACAATATTATTGACAATTTTATTGACGAATAAAAACAAGATGAAGAGAGACGAGGTCCAATCAGAATGAATTGTGTTGTGTACAAAGAAGGGATGATGATCCAGTTAGAAGTTATCTTATGCAAAGTTAGACGTGCACAATTTGATCTGCCGCTGACAGACAAGGTTGGGCGAGCTCCCCGTCTCATGAAAAAACAACAAAATGTCAGAAGAGTAATCATATGGACACATTTCATGTCAAGGAAAGTCAGACACTTTGCAAACCGCGGCGCATAGAGCAACTTTCACCGGTTAAAAACACAACAAACTTTTATACTTTCTATTTTTGTCAAATGAATTGGTCTACAACAATCTTATGATATTTTATCAAATAAAACTAAATTATGACTAAAACAAAATCAAAATTTGCGTCAAAATTAACACTGGAACATTTATGTATACCTTTACATGTCCAATCTGAGATGTTGCTCTCAAACACTCATTCCTCCTGGTCCTCCTGGCGTGTTTTCAAAACTAAGAATTCTAATACGACTCGTCAGCTTGGCATAAAGACATCTAGCTGCTGTGATAGTGGCTGTTTGTTGGGTGTCATTGTGACAGATTCCCATTATAGCTTGTTCTGTGGCTAAAGATTGCTTCCAGTAAACAACGACACTTAAGGCACTTTGATTTGTGTGCTCCTTCCATTGTTGTAATCTTATTTTAACTTTATCATTTCCTTCCAACATTACTGTGCTGTGTGGATGACCCTAGTAGTTATGAGTAAATGCTTTCTTTTTTTTCTTTTTTTTTAACCCCTCAGCCGTAGAAAGCTGGTTAGGGGTTGTCATTACCCTGCCCGGCAAGTTGGCAGGCGGTGTGGATTGTTGTGAATGCGATAATGCAAGCAGAATTGCAACCATAGGTGTATCTACTAAAGTTAGACCAGTTTGAATCTCAGTGACTCAATGTCATGTTTTGTAAATGTGATAACTCAAAGTACTAAATGTAGCATATGTGACTCAAGTCACGTAGGATATATTTTTACCACTCCCTGCCACCAGTATTTTTACATTTTGTTTTGAGTCAAGTTCTTATTTTTTGCTCTTGCATATACAGACTGATAGCGGCCGCAGCCTGGCAGAGTACGCCAAATGTACAAACATAGTAGTTGGTCATGTCCGTGGGTTCTAGACTTAATTTTCCAGACCAGTAAAACATCCAGTAAAAGCGTGATATATTGGACTGGGGAGCCAGTGAAATAAATATAAATATTAGACACTGCTGCTGACTGTTAAACTCTGATTAAAATCATTAGCTGTGAATTCTGACATTTATTGAGATGTATGAGGGCATTTCTTAAAGCTGGTATTGTTCTGTACACTCTTGTCTCTGTCCTTGACTCTTTTGTCAAAGTTCTTTCTCACCCTCATCTTTTCACTCTCCTCCTCAGACAGTGGAGCATGGATTCCCCCACCAGCCCAGTGCTCTGGGCTACAGTCCCTCCTTGAAGCTGCTGGCCATTGGCACTCGCTCCGGGGCTATCAAACTGTATCCATCACTCTGTTAAATGTTCAGTTTCTATGCCATATGTTAAAACAAGATCTAGAGTGTAATTAAAGTGGTGGGTGGGTTCGTTTTGAGAGAGGTCAACTTGAGTCTAATAACAGATTAAATGTCATGTTGAGGCTGTCATTTTTAGCATCTACATGGATGTTAAAATCACCCACAATAATTATTTTATCTGAGCTGAGCACTAAATCAGATAAAAAGTCTTGAGAAATCAGACAGAAACTCAGTGTAAGGCCCAGGTGGATGATAGATGATAACTAATAATAACAATAATAATAATAATGTATACTTTATTGATCCCCGTGGGGAAAATCCTCTCTGCATCTAACCTACTCACTCAGTGAAGCAGTGGGCAGCCACTGGGTGCCCAGGGAGTAGTGTGTGGGGACGGTACCTTGCTCAGGGGTACCTCAGGGTACAGAGGATTCGAACCCCCGACCTTCTGATTATGGGGACCACCACTCTACCTAGAGTTATCCCTGCCCTAATAAGACTGTTATTTGAGCTTTTCAGCTGGGGTGGACAAGGCTGAGCATCAGGCTTTCAAATGAATTAAAACTCTGTCTTGGTCTTTGGTTGATTAATAAGCTGGTGTTGAAAATTGCTGCCACACCTCCTCCTCGGCCTGCTTCAAGGTTTCAGATAGAATGACTCCTTCATTTAAGCTAACATAATCATCCTGCTGTAACCAGGTTTCTGTAAGGAAGAGTAAGTCAATTTGATCAATTATTAAGTCATGTACTAACAGAGACTTGGAGGAGAGAGACCTAATGTTTAATAATCCACATTTCACTGTTTTACTCGTGGTGCAGATGTGGATGCTGTATGTGGAGTCTCTAATTCAGTGATCTTGGCCTCCAGAGCTGCAAATAGGCTACATATAGTACAAGTAGGATTACTGCTAAAGGAGGCTGAGGAGTAACTAAACATGTGACACAACAAGCAGGAAAGTGTAGGAGGGACAGGTGAAGAGGCCATGCTGCTAGCGAGTCCTTAAAGACACAGTGAGTGAATACTGTGACTATAAATTAGCAAGTGAATACACAGAGTGTGTGCTTTGTATGAAGCATGTGAAGATTACATTATGAAATAAATAAGTTATCTATTAGTTTTTAATTAAATTGCTGCACAAAAACACCACTGTGTGTTGGACCAGGAAGTGATCCTCTACTGCAGAGAGAGGGAACACCAAGTGACAGCGCCACCCAAAGGAGAGAGGTGGTCTAAGTTGTGACTTCTAAAGCAAGAAGATTTCTGGCTCTAATTCTCTGTACATAGTATCTTGGCGTCCCCTCAAACACTGAGATGCCTCCCTGAAATTAGGACTTAAAGTTTTGGATTTCTCTGTGTAAAATAGACCATCTTACTAAATGTGCATTAGCTTAGCTCTTCCCAGTGTGCTAGTATGATTGCAACTATGATAAATGGAGTCTGTGCTTAACCATTGTTCAGATATGGAGCTCCAGGTGTGGAGTTCATGGGGCTACATGATGAGAATGCTGCTGTCACACAGGTGCACTTCATGCCCCACCAGGTAATGTTTGATATAAATCACACAACATAGAATGCTAGCAGAATTTTGTTTTATTGAGCTTGCTTGTACTATAGTGCTGTTCTCAATAGTGTGTATCAGGGAATACATTTTATTATATCTCTGATTATTTGTGACTCTTATTCAGGTTGAGCTGGTTACTTTGCTGGATGACAACAGTTTGCACATGTGGACTCTAAGAGGACACAATGGACTTTCGGAACTTCTTGAAATAGGACGCTTCACGCTGACTGGACCACCTGGGTAAACCACATATTTCCACCTATCATTTTCCTTTCTCCACAGTAACCTTTTTGAGAAATGGCCTATTGGCCAGAGGGGCCAATGGTGCGATATGGCAGCCTCGCTTCTGTCAGTCTGCCCCAGGGCAGCTGTGGCTACAACTGTAGCTGCCTCCACCAGTGTGAATGAATAGTGGAATTGTAAAGCGCTTTGGGTGCCTAGAAAAGCGCTATATAAATGCAATCCATTATTATTATTATTCCATCCATCCATCCATCTTCATCCGCTTATCTGAGGTCGGGTCGCGGGGGTAGCAGCCTAAGCAAAGAGGTCCAGACCTCCCTCTCCCCAGCCACCTCCTCCAGCTTGTCCGGGGGAATACCAAGGCGTTCCCAGGCCAGCCGAGAGATATAATCTCTCCAGCGTGTCCTGGGTCTGCCCCGGGGCCTCCTCCCGGTGGGACATGCCTGGAACACCTCGCCCAGGAGGCGCCCAGGGGGCATCCTTGCCAGATGCCCGAACCACCTCAGCTGGCTCCTTTCGATGTGGAGCAGCAGCTGCTCTACTCTAAGCCCCTCCCGGATGGCCGAACTTCTCACCCTATCTCTAAGGGAGAGGCCAACCACCCTTCGGAGGAAGCTCATTTCCGCCGCTTGTATCCGCGATCTCGTTCTTTCGGTCACTACCCACAGCTCGTGGCCATAGGTGAGGGTAGGGACGTAGATCAACCGGTAAATTGAGAGCTTCGCTTTTACACTCAGCTCCCTCTTCACCACGACTGACCGGTGCAGCGTCCGCATTACTGCAGCCGCAGCCCCAATCCGTCTGTCGATCTCCAGCTCCCTTCTCCCATCACTCGCGAACAAGACCCCGAGATACTTGAACTCCTCCACTTGGGGCAGGAACTCATCCCCGACCCGGAGTGGGCACTCCACCCTTTTCCGGCTGAGAACCATGGCCTCAGATTTGGAGGTGCTGATCCTCATTCCCGCTGCGTTACACTCGGCTGCGAACCGCTATTATTATTGTTATTATTATTATTATTTGACTTGTTAAGTTAAGTAAAGCCAGATAAAGAAGAGATATGAATATGTAGAATTTGCTTAGTTGTACAGGTCACAGGACATCTACCCATGCCTTTGATCAAAAAGTTGCCAAGTGATGCCACTTTTCTCCTTCCTCCTCCTCCTCTCAGTGCCCCTCCAAGCGTGACCAGAGTGACAGCAGTACTGGCCCACTCCTCAGGTGAGCTGCTGCTGTTGGGGACAGAAGGTGGACATGTATTTGTAGTTGAAGTTCCAGGATTCAGAGAGCTGGAAGAGAGGAACATCAGCCTTGACCAAATTGCCAGCAGGTAGGCAAATTAAAACACATGTTACAGACAGTTGCATACTATATGCTGCTAAGGACTATGACAGTTGTTAGTTTCTGCAGCATAGACATAAAAAAAAAAAAAAGTGAAACTGCTAAAGTTACTAGAGGGAGTTTTTTCTGTTTGAAAGCACCTATTGTTGCGTTAGTTTTGTTGTTTTAAAATTTTGTTTTCTGCTAGGAACAAGAAATATCCTTCTCGTCACATAAAATATTGTATTTAGCTGCTGTTTGCACTTGTGGCTGAATGCTGGATAGAGCAGATTGTAGCTCAACTAGGGATGGGTATTGATAAGATTTTCACGATTCCGATTCCATTTTCGATTCTGTTTAACGATTCGATTCTTTTTAAAAAAGGAGAACCCTAAGGTCGATTAGCTTAGAACTTTGTTTTATATCTTCTCTTTGAACAAGATAGAAATTTAGGAGTAACATGGCCTTATAAACCCAACAGTGAGATCTTAAGAGATCCAGCCTACGGCTCTTCAATGGAGTGTCACAGGGTCCCCGGGGGAAAAATGTAAAATAATAAAATAAATATTCGTCTGTAGCAATAACAAAGTATAACATAAATTATTCTGTAGCAATTACACAAGAATATCCAGTAATGTCCTGCCTACAATTAAACACATTCACTTACCAAAGTGAAATCGGGGGCATCTGCTGTGGCAAATGGGTGCAAGCCTTTGACCACAAACTTAGTCACTGCTCGGTGACATTCGTCTATCCTGGCTTGAAAGGAGATTTTACCGGTAGACTGCAGCGAGAACTGCCAGCATCTGAGCCAGACTCTGTCTGTCTCTCTCATCATGGTCACTAAATGCACAGTAATGGCAGGTTTTGTAATAAGGCAGATCGCGCTAACATAATATGCACTGTTAGCTGATTATTTACCTGCCGCATTAACGGGAGAGGACGTGCAAACGTTACCGCTGCTGCTGGGTTGAGATTCACGAGTCCGGAGCGGAATTAAAAACACGACATTCAGTTAAGGTCATCACGTGTTTTGTCAGCAAATGCTTTTGCATATTTGTAGTGTTTCCTCCCTTAAATGAAATATCTACTTTTCAAGTTTTGCAAGATGCCCTGTTGTCATCCGTTCTCGTAAAGTATAACCAAACTTTTGAGCATTTGAGCCGCCATGTTTCCTGCCCGGTAAATGAGGCTCCACAACGTGGTGACGTCATTCGGGGCGACTGGAATCGATAAGGGTATCGTTTGCAAAAATGGCAAACAATTCCAAGGAATTGAAACAGTGGGAGCTGGTTCTCAACAAGAACCGGTTTTCGACACCATCCCTAAGCTCAACACTACAGTTTGTCTGGAAATTTACATTATTCTTTAGTAGGGCTGTGCGATATGACCAAAATCTCATATCCCGATATAAAACCTCTGTCGCCCCGTTTTACCGTCGTTGTTGCTAACGACAACCCATAAAAACAGGCGCTTGTCCGTCCATAGTGTGGTTATATTAAATATAAGAGAAAGAGAAATGAATATAGCCACTACAGTGACCATCAAAACGATGAACAAATATTGCCGTAAACTGTTTATTTTGCGACACCACGAAACAAACGATAGCGTAAAATGAAACGACAGACGTTTTTATATCGTCATCCGATATATATCGTTATATCGAACAGCCCTATTCTTTAGCCACTTTCAGAGCATGTATTACAGTGGAAATGAGCACTCTGTACATTATAAATATCAGTCTGCTCACTTCAAGTGTTTAAAAAAGTGTTCCTGCTAAACTGCTGTCACACAGTATCAGTGTTGGGGAGTAACATTTTAAAAGTAACCTTCCCAACACTGCACAGTATAATAGAATATATTGCCTGTCATCCCCTGTGCATCAATAATAAGACTGATATTCTCTTGAACTATTTCCTCTGCTTGTTGTGTACAGCGTACCTGATGACTACATCGGTCGCAGAAATCTAGAACACGTTGAGGCCTTACAAGAGAACCCGGTCGATCCAGATCAGGTCATCATTGGCTATGGACGTGGCCTCATGGTCATCTGGGATTTGGAGAAAAAACTTGCCATCCAGCACATTCCTGCCACACAGGTACCTGTCATGTAACGTACGCCTGAACAGAACACCAGCTGCCAGTATATAAACTGACTGAATACTGTGTAATCTATCCATAGCAACTGGAGAGTGTGTGTTGGACTGAGGACGGAAAGTACATTCTGAGTTCACACAGCGATGGAAGCTATTGTCGATGGATGGTGGGGGGGCAGGACACGAACGAGGAAGAGAAATCAGACATTCCTTATGGTAAAGAGGAAGCTCTCCACTGTTTTATTAATCATAAAGTAAAAAGGTTTAGGCCTCATGGTTACTTGTGTTTTATAATTGCAGGACATTTTCCCTGCAAGGCCATTTCTAAAATAGTTCAGCTCCCTACAGAAGAAGGGTAAGATGACGTCATCCACCGGTGAAATAAATCTTTTTGTCAGCTTCCTTCAGTGAAAGTGATGTCGTCACCTTTCTAATATTTAACTTCTCAGATATGTTATGTGAGCCGCTGTTACACATTAATCACTGAACAAATGGAACTGAACTTGAACCTTGTGTGTACGTATGTTTGCGTGTTTGTGTAGGCCTCCATTCCTGCTGTTCAGTGGTGGTATGCCCAGGGCCAGTTATGGGGACAGACACTGTATTACAGTGATCCATGGTAAAAAACACGTGGCCTTGGACTTTACCTCCAGGATCATCGACTTCTTCGTCATTAGAGATGGACCGGAGCACACAGGCAGGCCACACACACCAACAAACTGGCAACAAAATTACAGCACATTTAAATATGGGACTCTTAAAGTATTTGACAGCATTGAAGATCTATGTTCCCCAGTCTCTGATGTTGTTAGGTCCTATAAAGAGTGCACAAACATACTAAATACACAGGGGAACACTGCTTCAGTGTTTAACTTACTTAGACTTTGTTACTTTGTTGCTGTGTAGAAGGACGCAGTTAAAATAAGTGAACAAACATTAATGAATACAGTTTAAATGCCAAAACATATTAATCATGATATTGATGTTATTTGGGGGGAATACTCGTAAACCAAATGTAGAAAAGACAAATGATGTCAAATCCCCCATTAGAAAAAAATAACACTCAATAACAGTCAAGAGTTTTTGGGCCTATCAGAAAGTGAATGACATCAGTTAATTGCTTTGAACCATGTAGTGCTATTTGTTATGTCACAATTGGCTAAAAAGTGATAACAAGTAACGGTAGGTGATGTAGTTAGTCAGGTAAAAGAATAAACGGCTTTATTTGAAATTAACTGAGCTGAACATGAGATGTGTCAGTCAGTAGGGTTGGAATTTTGCATATGAGCTAGCTTGGTGAGTTAAATATTTGGATAAAAACAACAAAACAGTTTTACAGCACATGATCCTCAGGAGCAGAGGAATCGCTCTTTCTGAGGGAACAAGTAGAGCGTACTCTTATACCAACCAATACTGTACCCAGGTGTTCCCAATCTCTGACCACCTGACCACAGCACACACAGACAAAGGCTACATTCACACTGCGGGCGAAAGCGCATCAAATCTGACTTTTTTGACCCTATGCGACCCATATCCATGTCATATGAATGCTTCCTGGCCATCCAGTGTAGATGTTAGTGAAACTGTTGGGAAGACAACGTTGGAGGAACGTGAACATTTTATTTGTACTGTATAATCTGCAGATTCTGACAGAAATTTCCAACTATCTTTTGAACCACCGCTCCTCTCTAAAACAGCAATAAGGATCATTATTAGGCCATTTGTAAATAACAAAATAACTTTATAACTTAAAGCAAAGTTGGGAAACGTAAAGTCCGAAACAAGTCTTTATATTAAGGCCATCGGTCAAACAATACTGTTGCTCTGGGTCTAAACAGCGCGCGTTGTGTGTGACGTCTTCTTTTGCGCATGCGGGCGCTTGAGGGTTCACACTAGAGCGCGTTTGCTGTCACATTTTATTTGTAGTGTGAACGAGCAGACAAAAACATCGGATTTGATCAAAAAATTGGAATTGAGCATCAAGACCTGCAGTGTGAACGTAGCCAAAGACAACTTGCCAGATAAGGCAAGGTTACCACAGTTTGAATTGACACGGGTTTGTGTAAATTTGAACATAACTCTCTTGTGTAATTGTAATTTATTCATCACAGCAGCCCAGAAAAATGAGAGCAGTTTTGACAAGAGACACAAGCGTATCCCAGATCTCAGTTTATTAGCTGCTGTGTATCTTCCTGCAGGAGAGCCCAGTGCCCTGGTTGTCCTGGTGGAGGAGGAGCTGGTAGTTATTGACTTGCAGACTGAGGGCTGGCCCATCATACAGACTCCTTACTTGGTCCCCCTTCATAGTTCAGCCATAACATGCTCACATCATGTCTCCACCATTCCCCTCAAACTGTGGGAGAGGATCTTCGCTGCTGGAAAGCATCAGAATGCACACTACTCAAAAAAGGTAAAAATCTTTGTAAATTGAAAATAATGTCCCGTCATATTTATATTTCTCTGACTGCATGACAGGTTTTCACTTTTTCTGTGAATCTGTAAAAACACAGGCTATACAGTCACCCCATTAAGTGCCAATATTATTACTGATGGGATATGTTACCACTGTATGAGACTCTAAAGAATCCCCTAAAAGGCTGTTCATCATAACTTGAATGGTGCATCTTGAATATAAGAAGATGATTGAGGACATCAAGTTTTCATACTGTTTTCTTACTAATTTTCTTTCTTCGTGTCAGCCGTGGCCAGTAACAGGAGGTCAGAACCTGGCCCCAGATCCTCCACAGAGAGATCTGCTCCTCACGGGGTTAGTACGGTTGCCTTCATTCACATTTATTGAAAGGTCTTTTTGAAGTTGTAAAAATTATTCTAACGCTGCTGTGTATATAGGCATGAGGATGGCACAGTTCGTTTCTGGGATGCATCAGGAGTCTGTCTCTATCCCATGTACAAGCTGAGCACAGCTGGAGTATTCCACACAGATGCTGACCCCAATGACAACATGAACCAAGGGACTGAAGGAGAATGGCCTCCATTTAGAAAGGTATGTTTTTCTAATCTAATCTATAGAAAAGAACATTTTCATTTATATTTTAAGGTGAATATAAAGAAATGTCACGACACTGGGACTTATTTTAAGTATTATTCAGGTATTCTATCACAAATTCCATCAATTAGTTGAGTAATCGAATAATGAGCAATGATAAATATTCAAATAGAAAAAACACAGGTCTTTCCAAATGAGCTGCTCGTTGGTTAGCATTTTATAAATGGCAAGGTTTCCAAGTTTGACCGCATATAACATTTCTCAACAAAACTAGAACTAGAATATTAGAATTCGTGTGTGTGTGTGTGTGTGTGTGTGTGTAATTTTTTTTTTTTTTTTTTTTAAAGAAAAAGTGTTCTTAAATGCAAAAAAATTATCAATGGGCAATTTTGAATCACTAAAATCAGAATACTTTAATAATTCCTGAGTAAACTATATATACATAACCCCACTAAGTGCATGTCTTTGGGCTGTGGGAGGAGCGCACTCCACACAGTAAGCTTCTGGCCAGATGGTTATTTAGAACCCAGGACGTGCTTGCTCTGAGGCAACCATGCTAATGAATTTATAATTAATCTTAATTAGCATTAAAATTAACATAATCTTTTACAAGTACTAACCAAGCCCAGCTTGTGGGGATAGGTTAATTGGATAATCCAAATTGCCACTAGGTGTGCATGTGCGAGTGAATGTGAGTGTGAATGGTTGTCTGTCCCTATGTGTTGGCCCTGCGACAGACTGGCGACCTGTCCAGGGTGTACCCTGCCTCTCGCCCTATGACAGCTGGGATAGGCTCCAGCGCCCCCCGCGACCCTGAAAAGGATAAGCGGAAGCGAATGGATGGATGGATGAACAATCTTTTTACATTATTTTACTTTAAATTAACAGCAGTTATTTATTTTAAGATTTATGTAAAAGAGGAATGTTAATCAAGGTCTTGCATAGCAGCATATTAGGCAAAGCTGGAAGTAGAGGTGTTACTCTAAATTTCACCCTTGTCATGTTTCTGTTTAGGTTGGCTGTTTTGACCCCTACAGTGATGACCCAAGGCTTGGCATCCAGAAGATCCATCTCTGCAAATATAGTGGTTATCTGACTGTAGCTGGCACTGCGGGACAGGTGACTATTGAGAATTTTACAACAGACCTATGTCATGTTGGGCTAAGTCATATCTCTGATGTAGAGTAAGTTAAGCACTTAACTTACATCAGTAAGGTAAACTCTTACTTGTCAAGTTAGAGTTAAGTTTTAAGAATTATACTTTGCTAGTAAGTCAGTATATATGATAAAGCCTGCTCTTGACCTTTGACCTTCTGTAGAAGTTTGAGAGAAATTTAGATTTTTCTGTTGATTCTTACGCCCTCTTGCATATGTAGGCGTAGTAGAGCTTAAGAAGTCAGTTTTTTCACGCTCAGTGTTGAATTTATTTATATTCATAAACACTCTTTTCCCTCAACCAAAGCATCATGCTGCCACCACCATGCTTCAGTGCAGGGATTGTAATGGCTAGTTTCCTCCAGGCATAGTGCTTTGGCTTACAGGCTAAAAAGTTCAATCTTTCTCTTATAAGACCAGAGAATTTTGAGTCCTTTAGGTGCTTTTTGGCAAACTCCAGGTTGGTTGTCATGCTGTGTCATTTGTATCCAGTAAGACTCCCCCATGCTACACAAGCCTACCTTGGAATATATGCAAGAGAAGTGTAACTAAAGCTATACCGGCAGTGTTGAGGAACCAGAAGACAAGAAGGCATAAGTGCACAAGGTATGAGAATATGGGGTTGTTGGAATGCTACTACCAAGGAATCCCAGTGGAAGGGGTTACAGGAAGTGGATGTGGGACCTATGGAATCACACCCAACATCTAGACTAACAGCAAAACAACTAGTAGCTCAGTGTTCAAATAGCTGGAAGAAACTACTCACAACTAGAGATCAACGAGGTACAACACAAATGCTATGCCAAGGGTTGGCCAAAACGTCATTTCAAGGGGGGTGATGTCACCAGGTCCAAGTACAACTTATCATACAATTGTGTGTGTGATAGGATCATGGCTGAACTGGAAAACTGGACCCTCTTTGGCTGATTAACTAAGAGTGCATAAAGTACCTCTTGAAGTTCTACAAGAAGATGTGAATGCAATATTACAGACAATCCTTATTGTCTAAGTTTGAAGGATAAAGACTGTCCGCAGACTGAGTGGGGTGTGTGTGTGTGTGTAGGCCTACGTTGATATCACATTATTGTGATTATTCCCACTGTTATTTTGACTTTGCAGATCCTAATGTTGGAGTTGAATGACGAGGCAGCAGAGCAAACCGTGGAGGCTAAAGTTGTGGATTTGCTGCAAGGTCAAGAAGGATTTCGATGGAAGGTAAAGAACAGAACTGATTACTCGCTATGTTTGTTTATGTTTTTACAGTGACATGCAGCAGCTGTAGACATTATGAAGGACGGATCTGGCCACTGTAACGTGACCCGTATGTTTTAGGTCTCCAACAGAGTTTTCATTCTCTACAGATGCCTCCCCCAAAAAGTGTTTTTGCAGTCTGGCACAAAAATGATTGAATGAAAAATTTAATTAATGCAACTTTGCAACCAAGCTAAGTAGCATTAATAACTAAGAAATCCACCCTCTTGTCTAAATAAGGTCAGTTGTACTTCCAGAAATAAGCAGCAGCCAAAACTCAAAAGTTGAGACTTTGCAGAATCCAGAAACATATACAGCATACAAAAATAGGTGATCTAAAAAGGCTTTAAATGCTGCATTTACAATAATAACTAGCTTACTATGTGTGCTCTGAAGGCTATCATAAAACCTTTCTATTGTTACACCGTCAACTACATATTCCAGCATTTGATAGTCGTCTTCCTTCACAGGGCCACACTCAGCTGGATATCCAGGAAGACCCAGTGATGTTTCCTGCAGGCTTCCAGCCCTTTGCTGTTGTCCAGTGCCAGCCCCCAGCTGTGGTCACTGCTCTCACACTGCACTCAGAGTGGAAGCTGATAGCCTTTGGCACCAGTCATGGGTTTGGGTTATATGACTACCAACAGAAGAACAGTGTCCTGATCAAGTAAGGAGAAGCATTAAGAAAGATGTGAAACATGTGTCTGTACTGTGTTTACAGCTTCCAGGAAATCTGTTTCATGTTAGTGGATGTGTTTTAGCCATCATTTTCTTTCGTAGTACAAAGAAGCAAGTTGGATGTAACCAAGCTTTCAAACTTGCAAAATTTAAAACTGATACAACCATTCGTTTACTACTGGGTAGAAAATTCAATTCAGTTCAGTTCAATTTTATTTATATAGCGTCAAATCACAACAGTCGCCTCAAGGCTGTATATTGTAAGGTAGACCCTACAATAACACATACAGAGAAAAAAAAATCATTTATTGTCTTCTGGAAACGCCACACACCCAGATGGTGGATTCAAACCTTCCTGCTGCGAGGCAACAGTGCCAACCACTACCTGACAAAACCTGATCCAAAACAAATCTAAACCATAATGGCTATCATAATAACAGTTACGCAAACAAACTCAAGACAGTCCATGACAGCGACACACACCTGCCCTCTGTGGCTCTCAGCAGGTCACTCTGACCTGCAGACTCATGCAGCTGGCCTTAGTACTATCTACCACCCACTCCTGAAACTGCATCAGCCCAGATACCACCCAGTGATCCATCAGTTATCACTCATGCATCAGGCCCAGGTCCCAGCTGTCATCCATCATGTTCAAAGGAAATCTTCAGTTTTAACACAGTACAAGTGATATAGGGATATAATATTTACCTAGGTGGATATTCCAACCTAATATATCAGTCACTCATGCTCAAGTCACCGTACATGTTATGAGAAAAACTGTAGCCTTGTTGTGTCTTTGTTTGTTACATTTTAGGAGTAAGCAAAGTATTTGTGCAGCTGTCTGCATATCATATGTGCTCATTGTGTTTTCAAACTTTTAGGTGCACACTAAACCCCAGCGATCAGCTGGCCATGGAGGGTCCTCTGTCCAGAGTGAAGAGCATAAAGAAATCCCTGCGACAATCCTTTAGACGAATCAGACGTAGCAGAGTCTCTCTAAGAAAACAACATGTTAACACTGCTACTAAGGTAGAATCATAAAAAGGACTCTGCTATCTGTTCCGTGTTTCTCCGTTGTCGCATGTGTTATATATATTGATATCTGCCTAAGCAGCTCCAAGAGGCAAATGCTCGTCTGGAGGCTGAATTGGCAGAGATGGAGCTGGCTCCCGTCCAGAGGAAAATTGAAGCTCGCTCTTCAGACGACTCTTTCACTGGCCTAGTACGGACGCTCTACTTTGCTGACACCTTCCTCTCTGACAGTGAGTTGGCGTGTTAAACGTGTACTATAGTACGTAAACAGCACTTGCTACAGAAATGAATAGTGGGCAGAACTTTGGGTTGTTTCCATTTCCTTACGTTTCTCCTCATTTTCTTGTAGGTTCACATAACACACCCTCCCTATGGGCAGGGACCAATGGTGGCTGTGTGTTTGCCTACATGCTTCGCCTTCCTTCTGTCGAGCATAGAGCAGATGAGCCTGTCACAGCTCAACTATGTAGGTTTAACATTGTGGTGGCCTGATCTCTCAGCTCTGCCCTCCTCTTGTAAAGTTGTCTCTGATTTGCGTCCTTTATTTTCAGCCAAGGAGATTCAGCTGATGCACCGCGCTCCTGTTGTTGGTATTGTGGTGTTAGATGGACATGGGGCTCCTCTCCCTGAGCCCCTGGAGGTGGCTCACGACCTGGCTCGCGCACCTGATATGCAGGGCTCACACCACCTCCTGGTCGTGTCTGAGGAACAGTTTAAGGTTAGACTTGGAGCACTAGGGTTGCAGTGGGTCATTAAGATGTCTTAAAAAGTTAATATCAAAGAAAAGGTGGTCTTAAAATGTCTTGTTTCTTGTAAATTTTTCTAAAAGTATTATGTTTTCAGGTAGTATTTTTAAAGACCTGTAGATTACAGCCCTCAAAAATAACAATTAAATCAGTTACTATTGGTTCATGTCACTTGTTGAGCATTGTTGTGTCTTAGCTTGTTCTATGCTCTAAAGAGAATGCCATTTATGTGGTCTAGGCTCACAATTTTTAATATCGGTACAATTGCTGTTATTTATTGAGGTGTAGGATAGAAATATTCAATCCTCTTAAAATTTTGTAAACTCTATTCCAATGCATTTGTTTTGTGTGTTCAGGTTTTCACGCTGCCAAAAGTTAGTGCTAAGATGAAATTAAAGCTGACTGCTGTTGATGGCTCTCGAGTGCGACGGGTAGGCATGGCCTGGTTTGGCAGCAGTCGGACAGAGGACTATGGTGAAAGCGGCTTGTTGGTCCTGACTAATCAGGGCGATGTTCACGTGGTGTCACTGCCACACGTCAAGATGCAGGTACATTACCCCTGCATCCGCCGAGAGGACGTCAGTGGAATCGCTTCTTGTGTTTTCACCAAGCACGGCCAAGGTATAGAGACACCTGCGCACACGTTTCTTCCTCTGTTTTACTGGGGCTCTAAATACATTCTCTTTAGAATACAACATCAACAATACAGATGTGTCTCTAGCTCGACCTTCTAGAAGCAGTTTTCAGAAGTCATGTATGTCTTTGTTCTAGCCTAAAGTCTTTAGCCTTAATAGCCATTTGAAGAGATGGGGATCAGTAACAAGTTGCTGACTTTCCACAAAGAGCTAAAGAAACATGTGACAGTCAGAGAATTCAGAGTTAAAATATGTGTTAGTGTTTTGCAACAGCAATTTCTAAAGCAGCTTTTAAAAAAAATTTAGACACACGCTTCAAAATAACTGCCCAAATAAGGAATGTGAGGTGTTTCAAGATGCCTGTACAACAAGACCTGATTTTAGAACGACTTTGATTTCGCTCGCAGAAAAAGTACTGGCTTCATGGTGCTAAACTGGGGTTACAATTTGTATATTTTGTGATTTGTGTTAGTACATGCCGACAGACTTGTATTGTGGGATAAATTAATCAGATTAAAAGATCCATTTACTGTCAGATTATTATGAAAACTGGATTGTTTCGTTTGTATGTTTGTTGGTTTTAAATGGAAAGAACCCTCATGCCGCTTACATCCATGCTGTTCAGTAACTGCTGCCACGAGTTTTTAGAAGTGAGATTTTCTTCCTAAAATGTGATTTTTGTCATGTTTTTTTTGTTGCTGTTGTTGTTCAATGGACAGTCATTTTGCCAGTGCACTTATCTACATTCATAGGTCCCCCCACCCCCACCCCGCTTGCCACTTTCACTAAGCTCCTGTGTGCTGTTGTTCTCCCTCAGGCTTCTACCTGATCTCCCCGTCTGAGTTTGAAAGATTCTCTTTGTCGACCCGCTGTGTTGTGGAGCCTCGTTGTCTGGTGGAGGCTCCACTTCATTCTGGCTGCTCCAACCAACACCAGTCACAGCCAGATGGAGCTTCATCTACTCATAGGTACTCATAGGTTTCCTTGTTTTCATCATGTTGGTGTTTGCTGAATACAAAAGTTTGCTGTAGGGCAATTTAAGCCAGGTTGTTAGATGATGCTGGTAGTTACAACTTCCATGTTAAATGGGAGTAAAATCATTGTAACAATGCCAAATAGTATATAAAAGAGAGTGAAAGATTGTAAAGACTGACCCTGGTGAAGAAATAATAAACATTAGATAGAAATCTCACTGATGTGTGCAGAGTGTGTAGATAGAAAGAAAAGTAAAAATGAAGTTAGCTAAAAAAGGTAGACGCAAGACTGATATTGTGTAACACAGAAGTGCAAATTGCATTTATAAAAAAGAGGAAAAGACACAGCGGTCTGGTCTGGTGGATTTGATGGCCGTCAAAGTGGCTGTCTGACGTTCTGATCCCTGGTTGGTGAAACTCACTCTTGGGACATAGAATGTCCAAAATAATGCGTGAGGCTGAGAGATGCCGACAGTCCTGACTCAGGCGTGCCTCAGCACCTGGAAAAGTAAAACCGCTCAACTAAAGCGCATAGTTGAGTGGTTGCCTCCACCAGTGTGTGAATGTGAGAGTGAATGAATAGTGGGATTGTAAAGTGCTTTGGGTGCCTTGAAAAGTGCTATATAAATCCAATCCATTATTATTATTATTCTAACATATTTTGCCTCCTCCTCCCAATGTATAAATCACTAGCTCCAATATAGTCAGTTATGCTGTTTTTGTCTTTTATTTTCTCTTAATGTTTACAAGTGACATCAACCTTCCAGTGACTGTAGATCGAAATCAGCCAGTATGGCTATATCAGCAAAATGTACTCATTTTACTTCCAGTTCATTGTCCCCTTTTAACGAATATTTTAACAGGATATTAATATTACATGTTTTACATATTACAATAATTGATATGTTTTGACATCCCTAAGAATGAGCTGTCATTACTTTCTGTCTTCTCTGTCCTTTCAGAGCCAAACATGATGGTGAGGATGCAGGTAAAACAATTAAAAACAAATAATATCATTGTAAGTAAATGTGCATGTGCCACATGAGTGTGTGTTCTGTGTTCTGTGGTGTTTTATAATTCTGTGCTATGCTAAATGTGCTGTCTGTTTTTACACGTACCTTGTCTATGGCTGACTGTGTTGACATGCCATCTATTGCAGAAAATGCAGCTAAACATGTTATGGAGCATGCTTTGCTGAATGATGAGAGTGAGTACAAAGGCAGGAGAATATCCTGAAATATAGACCTGGAAGGTCAAATAGCATGTCCCTCAGACATTGTAGTTGTTCAAAGGAAATCTGGCTTCAGTTGTAATTGAATTATACGCTACCTTTTTGAGCTGGTCCTGCAGCCTCTTACTCACATTGTCATTTGAAACATCCAAATTACATGTCTCAGAACCATATACAAGCACATGACTGATACAACTTCATTTTTTCCCCAGTGAGCTGGCTTGTTGTGACTGAGCTAACGCTCAAAGTCGTGACAAAGTGTGGTGTTGTTAAAAGCAATAGTTGGTTACAGTTGTTTTTTTGTGTTTTGTTTTTTTCTTTTCAGAAGTACTTCAGGAGATCCAGAAGTCACTAGAAGGAGATCAAATGCAAGTATCACAAACACATTCTTTGTAGTTGTACAAAAATTACACAAGGAAAAAAAAGATGTTGTGCCATTCTCAGGCTGGAAAAATGACTGCAGTGTGCAGCTAGATCTGCTTGTAAGAAGTGTTTGCAGCGTGCACCTCCGGGGGGGGAAATGTACTGAGCAACTTCAGTCTGTGTTGTTACTGTGATGCTGGTGTTAATCCCAGAACTCTGAATCCATTAATATTTTTCCCAATTAACCTTTAAAAGTAAACTGACGTAATTCTTTGGCTTAAAAAGCTACCAACATTTTTTTCTTGCAGATTTTCACTTGATATGTTACGAGAAAATTGAACTCATTCAACCCAGAAATTCTTCTAACATTTCTCCAATATTAACGACAAACATCACACTGTGCATTTTGACCATACATCTTTACTTCAATCTCAATCATCCAAATCATTTTTGAAAGTCTTGTGGTTTATTTAAATATAACCTTGCAAATCTAAGGCACGGTTCTATGTTCCTTATAGCGAGAAGAGGCTTTTGCCTAGTAAGCCTTGCAAACAAGCTGTACTTGCTCAGTCTTTTTCTAATTGTATCATAAACTTTTAAAATGCTGAGATTATAGCTCTTGGGTTTTTAAAGGTGAACATGAAGTTGGACAATTGTAACCGATCGTGTTAATGGATTCTGTTTTCTGTTTGTCAAAGGTCATTCCTGGAGAATAATGTGAAAAGTGCTGTAGCGTGAGGAGCCTATCTCAACAGCTGAGGTGAGACTTTGTAGCACTTTCTTTCCTACAAATGCAAAACATGCAATCAATTTTTGAATCCACATCTGTTGGTTCATGGTGTTTTTGTGCTATATCTTTACAGAGAACCGACATGTTGATATGTCTAAAATGGACCTAAGCAACAGATCTTGCCTCCATTTTAGCTGACACTACTGACACCTGACCCCTCTCCTCAAAGACTTACCCATCCCGCCATTTACTGATGCTGCGCTCACACTGGCCCCTTCATAGAGACACCAATAGGCTCTTGTCAGAAGTGCTTTCTGAACATCTAGGGCTTTGGCTCAGTAATGGTGCAAAGAATGTGAAGGAAGTGACACCACATGTGCCTAAGGACCATACACTGCTGCCATAGCATGGCCACACCCATTTAAACCCAAAGCTGGATGAGGCACATTACTGGCGTGTGACCGGATCCCTTCAAATCAGCCTTCTACATCTGACATGGAAGCTACTGAGCTGTTTTGTTTGGTATAAAACTGTTTGTTTAAATTCACTTGATGTTCTAATGGCCTTTATCACTACCAGCATCACCATCTAGTCACTGTACTCTGCTGTATATCTTACTGGCCTTCATCTCCTCATAGAGACATGAAGAAGAAATTTGGGGGATGATTTTAAATAACATTGATAAATATTTTGTGTAGTTTAGATTTGTGATTTGTTGTAGGAAAGCCCATTTCTACCTGCAAAAACATGTTGTGTCCAAAATTATAAAGTGTTAAATTAACAAGTTGCTGTAACAAAAACTTGACAAATTCTTGAGACACTGAAACGCAGAGGAAACGCGCGTTTCAGTCTGAATTAGGTGACACTATTTTAATTCGTTTGGGGTTCTTTGTTGGTTTTGTTTGTTTATACAACATTGATGTAACACAAATCATGCGTTTTCACTTCATGCATAGTCTTTATATTTTTTCATGTCTTAACTTTTTAAATTTATATCGACAAAGTTGGCATGATTTTAACTTTTAGTGGTTTTTTTTTTTATGTTAATGAGCTTCCATGCTATTCAGAAAATCAGTGGAACATGTTCAGTAATGCCTGAGATGATTGATGTGTGTGCGTGTGTTATTTTGACTTATCATTTAATTAGCATTACACATTCTTTACACCACGCATAGGTACTGATGCACTACTGCAATTTTTGTGCATGTTCTGATTTTAATATTTTGCTTTTGCAGGTAATAAATACTGTAATTTAGGAATGTAATTATAAACTATTGTGCTGAAATATTTTTAATATATAAATGACTCTTTACCTGTGGATCTGTTGTAACTGGGGTTGGCTGCTATTTAGATCACACAAGGAAATATTTTGGTACTATCTCTCACAATGCTGGGTGTTTTAGCATCAGTCTAGAATCTATTTTTGTAGTGAAAGAACGCTAATTTTTTTTAAATAACTTTACACTACAGTTTTCTAGGATAAAATTGTTTTTTCAAAGAATGACTGTCTGGCTCTTTTTTTTTCTGCACAGTATCTCCATTTTTTTTTATTTTTTTTAACATAGCACAAAATGACTATGCTGCAATGCAATACTTGATTGTGAGTGTCCCCAAGTCTTCAAGTCTATGTGTGCTTGGTTCAGAGACCACATGTCAACTCAGAACCCATTATTTGACCCTCATGAACTGCCAAAGCTCAGTACTCCTTTTTGGTATCGTTTCCTCTAAAAAGCCTAGCTACAGTGTTATGTACTTGCAGAGCATAACTATCTCTGGTAAAATCTATACAATAAAGGAGGAATCAGCTGTCCTGCGTGATCCAAGTGTTGATAATAATAAAAACTTTATAAAGCACTTTCAAACAAAGTGCTGAACAAGTATTTGAAGATAAAAATATATACAAATAATAAAAACAATACAGTTTAAAAACTGATAAAGCAAAAGGGAAAAGCAATAAGAACCAGGAAAAACTTGAGGCATAGAATTAATACATGTAGGACGGGGGAACAAGTTTAACACTTGGATTTGAAAACCACAAAGCATGCCTGCCTAATATCTTGAGCGAGGTTGTTCCAAAAAAAAAAAAAAAAGCAGGCTCCCTAGTAGTTTTTCTTCTGGTTTTAGGAACCTTTAGAAGGCCAGTATCCTGAGATCGGAGAGCACAGGATGGAACATAGAGGTACAAAAGGTCAGAGAGATATGAAGGCGCCAAACCATTTAATACCTTGTAGGTGAGCAACAGGACCTTAGAATCTGCTTAAATCTGGCAAGGCAACCAGTGAAGAGATTTCAGTACTGGATAATGTGCTCAAAATTCCCAGTTTTGGTTAAAATGTGAGCATCTGCATTTTGTACCATCTGTAAACCTCTAAAACTTTTCTTCCGTAACCCAGTAGGGAGAGCATTACAGTAATCAAGCACAAAGGCACAAATTCATGGACAACAATCTCTGCACTGCCAAGTGATAAAACTTGTCTGATTTATTCCTTAGGTGATAAAAGACAGTCTTTGTTGTCTCTTTTACATGAGACTTGAAGGAGAGCTCTACCAAGCCACACGCCCAAGTTTTTTACCTTTAAATTTTAAACTGCTGGCTAAGGGTAAACATAAATTCAGTAAAATTATCATTCACATCGGCAGTAATGACACCTGGTTATGTCAATCGAAGGTCACTGAAATTATTACTGAATTGGTGCTTAACTTTGCCAAAACAATGTCGTACTCTGTAGTTTGTTTAGCCGCATGTCCTCCTTAAATTGCTGGCTGTCTAAGTGGTGTCCCCAAAACGATGTGGGCTTGAGAAACTTTCTGGAGGAAACCTGGTTTTGTTAGGAGACACGGCATGCATCCCACTTTGGATGGAGCAGCTCTCATTTCTAGAAATCTGGCCAAATTTATTAAAGCCCCCAAAACGTGACTATCCAGAGTTGGGACCAGGAAGCAGAGTTGCAGTCTTACACGCCTCTCTGCAGCTTCACACCTCCTGTTATCCCCTCAAAACCCCATCCACTTAGAAACTGTCAGCTCCCAAACAGACTTACTTAACTTAAATGTGAAACCAGCAAAATACGACTTAAACATTAAAAAAAATCACAAACCTGGTTACAGCAGGATCATTATGTTAGCTTAAATGAATCAACGTCCCCGAGTCATACTAACTATCAGAATCGTTGAAGCACAGGCTGGGGGGTGGTTTGGCAGTGGTTTGAACTCACCTCTCTGACATCGCTCACAGAGTAGTCTCACATTCAATTGTACATTTCTGAAGCCCCTGGAACCCCCCACTTGTTGTAGGTCAAGCAAGCTGGTTATGGGTCCACATTTACTGGACCCATAATAGCATCTTAGGTTGGAACAATTTCTGTCACCAGCACTGTTTAAAATCGTGTTTGTCTCCTTCAGCCATCTGACACCTCGGATCTGTCTTCAGGTATTGCTGTTTATAATTACTTAGTATTCAGAAAAGGCTCTCTCTCCCACCTCATTGTCCCTACGATTGTGCAGTAGATTTGCTTTCAGGTGCTTCGCTTACTCAGTGATCACTGATCAGGATTCTCCAGTGTGACAACCAAGACCAAGGTATCGGTCCACCTAACCATCTTTTTGTACCTTCCAAGTAATACACGGTGCCCAGACCACCAGGTATACCTGCCACCCTGGTAAGAACTGCACCATCTCTTTTCTCCAGTGCCTGTTCTGGTCCCATCTTTAAGGATGTCAAAGACTACCTGTCTCCATGTCCTGCCTGCATGTCCTGAACACCACTTGAAGTGTGTGTAAGACAGGTAGAGGGAGGAAGTACTGGTCAGCCCGAGTTTCCCTCTGATCCCTCCCTTTCCTCTGATATGTCGGGTTTAGAAAAGTAAGTAAGTAATCACAGCAGTTGTAGGCTTGGGTTCAGTCTCTGGCTGGGGTCTGGAGCAACCCTGGAAGAAACCCTGCTTCCTCATGGAAGTCTAAGAAGATTGGACAAGGACTGCAAGTCACCTCATCCTTAGTCTATAGCCAAGGAGGATGCTGACTGACACCACCAGGTTGCTGGTCCAGGTCCAGGGCCTGGTCCAGCAAGAAGGAGAACAACTAGTCTGAGGTGATGGAGACTCCTGGTGTTTGGCTCCTGCATATATACATTATTCATTTCTTGGGTGCTGCTACAGATTCCCAGTAGCTTGTCAGTATTGTTTGGCTGATCAACTGAAATGCAGACTGCAGCATTGCCAGCCCCCCTCTGTTTTAAGTAAGAGTCATTGTGTCCCATCAGCTGTTCAATTTAATATTAAATATAAATTGTGCGATTATATACATTACAATACAAACCTTACACTATTAATAAAAGGCCAACATTTTGCATTTAAGTAATCATTTTACCTTAAAATGACATGAAAACACAATTTCTAACTGATTATTACATATAACAAACAGGTTAATAATGTATAACAACAGTGAATAATCATGAATTATGACTTTGTAAAATCTTTGAGATAAAATATCTGTTTTCTCTATAACTTACTGGGACATGCAACAGCTGAAATTCTGTAATTTCATAATGGAATGTCGGATTAATTCCATCCTGGGTAGGTTCCTCTACACGTATAGCACGTAGAGGAACCTGTTTCTCACCGTGCTCTTTCTCATCCTGTCCATCAGCTCATATTGTTAATGTAACCCAGATGGAAAAAACACAATTAGATGACACAAAAGATAAAAGAAGAGACAGTATTTATTTTCTTTATTTTACTTGTTTACCTCAAGTGTTACAGTTCCTATCGCAATCGAATGCACTGCTCAGTTCACCCCACATGGTGTTGCCTAGCTCTCAACAGCCAATCAAAGCCTACATTCAGCCTGTCAACTGGGAGGTGAGGTGAAGGCACGTGATTCTCCTGGGTTTCTTTCTGATCTCAGCCATGGTAGTGAAGGCAACTACTGAAAAGAAGACCTAGAAACACAGAGAACAAAAAGGGGAAAACCCAGAGTTAAACTGTGGGACAAGAAAAAAACAGAAAGCCAGCCTACTTACCTACTGGAAGCCTGGAGCTGAGTGAGTGAATGAAGGAGAGAACTAATGTCAAAAACTTGAAGATTCTTACCGTCCTTGTCCATGCTAATGCTAGCACAGGCTTACCACTTACTATCCAGCTGGAGAGCTGCTGCTGTTCTGATACTGGTGTGTTCGGCTTTGAAACACAAAGCAACTGTGAGAAACATTTTCCTGTAGCTGCTCTGAAGCTATTTTTCCTGTCGGTTCACTGTGTGCTAAAGAGAGTAGTGGTAATATTAAAGTTATGAGAGTGAACTAAAGTGGATAATTGTTACGGTCCTGGGCCGTTTGACTACTCCCAGCTGTGTTTCCCTACTGTTTCTTCCCTCGTTATCCCTCTATGTATTTAAGCCTTTTGTCCTTCTCTGTGTGTTGCTGGTTTGTCTGCTTATCATCCATGTCATTTCTCCAAGTAAAAGATGAATAAAAGGATCCGTAACTCAAAATTTCAAGTTTTTCCTAAATTTTGAAGTAATAACTCGAAATTTCAAGAAAATAACGCAAAACTTTAACTTATGGATCCAGCTTTTAGTCTGAGACCTGTTTTTTCCCCCTGAGACCTGATGAATGTTTGCCTGACACCTGAGACCTGACATTTTTTTGTCTGAGACCTGACGACTTTCTTCCTGAGACCTGAGGGTGTTGTAAAAATGGTCGACCGTGGCTCAAGAGTTGGGAGTTCGCCTTGTAATCGGAAGGTTGCCGGTTCGAGCCCCGGCTCGGACAGTCTCGGTCGTTGTGTCCTTGGGCAAGACACTTCACCTATTGGTGTTGGCCAGAAGGGCCGATGGCGCGATCTGGCAGCCTCGCTTCTGTCAGTCTGCCCCAGGGCAGCTGTGGCTGCAACTGTAGCTTGCCTCCACCAGTGTGTGAATGGGTGGATGACTGGGTGTGTAAACCGCTTTGGGGTCCCTAGGGGGGACTAGTAAAAGCGCTATACAAATATAGACCATTTATGTTCCATGTCTCCACTCAGGTTTTTGGCTCCTTTGTATTACTTTTGCATGGTGATGGTCAAACAAAGCTTTCTGAAGCATTAAAGCTTGTGTTGAAGCATTAAAGCTTGTTTTGAAGCATTAAAGCTTGTGTTGAAGCATTAAAGCTTGTTTTGAAGCATTAAAGCTTGTTTTGAAGCATTAAAGCTTGTGTTGAAGCATTAAAGCTTGTTTTGAAGCATTAAAGCTTGTGTTGAAGCATTAAAGCTTGTTTTGAAGCATTAAACTTGTTGATTGTTTTTTGAAGCATTAAAGCTTGTTTTGAGCATTAAGTTGTGTTGAAGCATTAAAGCTTGTTTTGAAGCATTAAGCTTGTTGAAGCATTAAAGCTTGTGTTGAAGCATTAAAGCTTGTGTTGAGCATTAAGCTTGTGTTGAAGCATTAAAGCTTGTGTTGAAGCATTAAAGTTGTGTTAAGCATTAAGCTTGTTGAAGCATTAAGTTGTGTTGAAGCATTAAGCTTGTT